TCCGTTATCGAGGGAATTGAGGAAAACTTTCTGCTTGTACGGGAGAAAGCTTTGCAGCGAACCGGATGTATTTAAACAACAGGATCCCGCTTCCACGAGTGGCACCCGAAGTCCCGGTGGCCGGGGGTCCGGGGGTCTCGCGGTGCATATAGAGACCGGCTGTTCTCGTCCCGGTGCACAATGGGCTTCTTGTTTTCCATTTTCGCTTCTTACTTTACCGCACTTTATCGACTTCGACGGAGAACTCTTCGCGATCGCGCATACACCAAACGAAATTGTTGGAAAAAAACGCCAGTAATCTGCACCTGGGCCCCCCCCCCCCCTTTTCTTTTCCAACTCGTGCTACGACTTCAAAAGAGAGATCCTTCACCGAAAGGAAAAAAGAAACCGTTTTTAGACATAACACTCGCGCTATTAAAAATATTAATGCTACCATAATTGCTAACAGATAAACTCTCGGTACGATAAGCAGCCGCTGCAGCATGCAAGGTCTATATTTTTCAAACTCGTCGAGGGAGATTACTGTAATTTTTTTTTCTTTCAACCGCGCATAAGTTGTTTCTCAAACGCGTGCACGTGTATCACGTTCGATACATTTTAGCCAATTAATTTCAAATTACTTAATTTAATTTTTGATAAATTATTTAATCTCGATTATAAAATTAATGTATTTGTTAGAAAAAGATAAATTATTCGTCGGCGAATTAATTTCGATTAAACTCAATGAATCAACCGCTTACGTATTTTCATGGCGAGCATAAAAGTTTATTTCAAGATCGTCCGCGTTCGTTTGAACTTATTTTGAAAAAGGAGGTTTCGGGACCACGTCCACGCCCGTGGACAGAAGTGTTAGAAAGTGCCGCCAGTAAACTTAACCTTCCTCGATTATCGTGTCATTCACTTTGTGATTCATCTCACCCCGCCCACCAGATACGAAGGCATTAATCTGTATGCACGTTCCCACTACGCTGGCCGTTAAGTATGACGGCACTCGCGTAATTGCTCTTAATTCAACGTAAGTGACCGTCCAGACATTTAAGAATGCCATTCATGCCCGGCGTTCTCCAGGCTCCCGGCGTCGCTCGTGGAGAACACGTCGACTTCGTTGCGGGATTATCGATCTGTATTATCTCTCGCATCGGCACTATTGACGCTTCGAGAAAGGATTAGACGTGCGAAAAGGCCTGCTTCTCTCTCCTCTTCCCTTCCCTCTTCGGATGCAATTCGTCGGACATGATAAATTCTTGACAGCAAGCGATGTAAGCTTCAGTGGTGGCTTTATGCGCGACTCGAGGACGCACGCACGTTGATTAAAAAACGCCAGCTAGTACAGAGTTGCGTAATGAATAATAAAAATTGCGACGCTGCAGGAGAAGCGTGTAAAGATTGTACACGATTGTAAGTCACACGAATTTTTGCGCCCGCTCGTGCAACTTTGTGAACAGAGCGCGTCTTTAATTCCAGCGGGGTGACGTAATCGTGTTCGCGCTTTATCACGAGGCTACTCTTCTCGGTTTGTCGTTTTCACCATTAGATATCCATATCGGCTTACTCTGGTTTTCCTTGAGTTCCTCGCGCGTCTGCGACCTGCCGCGTGTTACCTGTGACATTTGGTTCGTTAGAGGAAAAATAAAAGAGTCGATATCGCGCTCGCTCGTTGCAGCTGCAGATGCGACTGTTATCGCCGCTAATATCAGCAAACGTCGCTCGCGACGGATCGTCGTAAATTAGACAACGCGGTTAATCAGGCGTCACCCTTCGTTATGACGGTCTGTTTTAACGTCGAATCATGCTGGTGAACGCGATTGATGCTTATCTGCGCGGTGGATCCGCTTTTGCCCGCGTATATCTTTACTTTCTCTTTTTCATTAATGTATATATTATTATATCGTGAAAAAAGACGTAGAAAATATTTTTTCCGTCTATCTTCAATCGTAGATCTAGGAGATTATTTCCTCCTTTATGCCACAAAAGCTTGGCATGCATTTGAATCATCGGACGCGTGCTATTGTATTCCGCATTACTGTAAAAAGAGTAAAAGTGCACAATTAAGCGAACAGTAAGAATAAAAAATCGATTTACAGTGGAATGAACCGCATACACATTTCGGCTATAAATCGCGTGACTTTCACCGAATGTCCGTGTCACTTTACCTTTTCTACGCGTATTAGACTATTTAGATAGATTATTTGATAAATATATTCGCCACGTTAGCGCCAATCTAACATTGCCACACGGAGAGACCGTTCTCTTCAAATTTATCCTGAAAATCATACAATGTGTGGGACAACATGGCAATTTGAAAAACTTTATGAGTTTTATGAAATTTTACCATACATTTTACTAGTAATGATAAAATTTCACAAAACTCATAAAATTGTTCGAAATGCCGTGTTGTTCCGCGATCACATGATTTCCGGGAGAAATTTTAAGAGAAAATTCTCTCCGTGCAGACTTCGGATACTCCGCAAATCTTCTCAATAGCAAAGAGACAGATGATTGATTTCATTTTTTTTATTGACCTTTATTTATTTTAAAGCCGGTTTCATCAACGTTATTTAACTTTGAGCTCAGCTCAATTCGTTCTTTGTCTCTTTCCAACTGTTACTGTAGAAAGAGACAAACATGAATTAAACTAAGATTGAAGTTAAGCCACGTTTGGTGAAACCTAAGTGTAAAACATTAGCCTTGGTTTTTCAGCAACGTCGTTCAACTTTGATCTTAGTTTAACTCGTCCTTTATCTCTAATTTTCTCCCAGACAGGAACAAAGGGTGAATTAAACTAATTGTAAGATCAAACGACGTTGGTGAAAACCGGAGTAAAAAAATCTGCCTGGCACGCGCCTCAGGTTTGTTCCGTGTGCAAGTCGTGAGATTCTGCGGATCGCGGGTCGACGTTTACGCCAATGCCGCGGCGAGCGTCTACCTTTCCCGTTAAGTCAAGTCACCCTCCCGCGGGGCCCGGTGCGACGCCGATGCCGGCGATGTGTATTTCGCGTGTGTGACATCATTCGCGTGATGTAATCGTCGTGGCGAGCGAGGCGGCCGCGTCTCCCACGCGGAGACGCGAGCGCGGCAACGCTATCTATTAAATGAACGCACGTATACTCGGAGACGTGTACCCTACACGGGCGTTAACGAACGTCCACTTGATACCCGGCGATTCCGATGGCGAATCGCGATGGGCGATTAGAGCGAGTGTGATTAGCCGGCGGAAGAGACGATTCCGGGAACGGGAGCGTACGAGTGAAAATAAAAAGAGGATTTCGATCGCGAGGAACACGTTCGCCGGCGTTTTTATACCGTACAAATATAATACTCTGTCACAACTCACTATAAATTTAATTCGCAAAACTTATCGCGAAAAATGTTGCTTCAGCCGGGATGGCAAGGTTTTGTACCATGTTGGAATTTAACGTCTCACGATAAATGATATCAGGGGAGGGGGGGGGGGAGGAAAACTTAGAACACTCGCGGGACACCCTGTATGTAACGCGACTTGTGGGTGTTGATTTAAGGAAAGATGCCTTATTAAATGCTCTAACAATAGACTTGACGCGGTGAATCAGATTTATTACCCGATTAATTCGTGTAAAACGGGCGCAGAAGTTTATTTATTGCTGCGCTTCTCAAAGTCGATTTATCAGTATCTGCCTTGAGATACCAAAGATACAACTTTTACGGCGCGAAAAACAAACATCTATGTTGATCGAGCTATCGAGGAAGAGGGGCATGCACGGGAGGTAATCTCAGACTAGCGAAGCGTACCGATGAAAAAGAAGCTAAATGAAGGACCCACATTGTGCGTGGGCGCGCGCAATCGTGCACTATTATCGAATAGTGTTGCGTAAGATTGATCTCTCTTTCTCTCTCTCTCTCTCGAGGTCCCGCTATTTACCCAATTATTAATCGTTAGACCTGCCGTGCAAGAAGATAAGATTACTCTGCAATTCTTATCTGTACACCAAGATTGACTTGACGTGACAACGCGCTGACTCTGGCTCGCCAAGACACGTACCGTGGCATCGCGTTTGCTTGCCATTACAACGCGTGGGTAGCAGAAGGAAGAAATGCTAACGATTATTACCGTGTCCCCGTTTTTGCATTTTATGCGTGGTACCGCGTTTCCTGGGCGCGCGGTTGAAGGTCTTAGACAGCGCTTTAATGTCTTCTGCATCTAAGTTATAACGTGTGCAAAGAGCCGCGGATGTTGAGTATGTAACACAACCATCCGATCAAGGGTCTGGGAAACCCATGGTACCTACGCGGAAAGACCGGCTAGGGCAAAAATAACTGACATAAAAATGTCGCCATATAAATAGTAGGGGCATCTACATTGCTTTGTGTTGCAACACTCATTAAGTTTGCTGCACAAAACGCATATAGTTGTCTTCACTACTTATCGTACCAATGTGGGTATAACAACCACAGATATAGCTGTCCCAAATATTACTATTTATTGGGGTTGTGCCAACCCTAATTAGACATGTGGTAACCATATCGGTCTCTCCGTGTATGAAATGCCTGGAGAGGTCCACAATCTGGGATCCAATTCTGAATCTTACAATATAGTGCAAATGCCAAAAGTGAGTAGCTGTTTCTAATTATCCTCTTAGGGCCACTTTCACAAACGTCGGTTAATTGTTAACCAGAGTTCAGTCAACTCCCTATTTGTTTCTATCTTGTTCGCTAAGAAGAGACAGAGGATCAATTAATCTTCGGTTAGCAGTTAACCGGCGTTTGTAAAACTGGCCCTTGGAAAGAGACAAAATCGCTCACTTTTAGTATTGTCACATTATTGTAAGATACAGTATTGATCCCCAGAACCCTCTTTTATCAATAAAAGCGCCTCTAAAAGAGGATTCAGAATACGGGCCATAATAAATATATTTAAAAAAAGAAATTAAAAATTATGTACAGATATTATGATGAAGAAGAGGATAAATATATAAATTGTCGTTTCCGCAAGTTCCTCGCGTTAATGAATTTATCGTTTTCAGGTGCACCCTTTTAAAGGGTTCGGCAGAAGTGAGCTGTTGGTCTGATTGACAAAATGACGACCGACATCTCGGTGGTGCGTGGGGGTTGGGACCCCACGCTGCAACAAGAGATTGTCGACGAGTACGAATACGACGGGGGAAACTCGAGTTCGAGACTTTTCGAACGTTCGCGCATCAAGGCGCTAGCTGGTACGCAACTCTATCGATTTGCTCTTCCAATCGCTTCATTAAACATTTTACTACACAATTATCTTTTATTTTACAACTATCAAAATTACAAAAGACTCTAGCGTGATTTGTTATCGATTCTATAACGAGTAAAAAGTTCAGCTCTTCGTAACAGTATAACTCTATAATAATAATGAGTAGCGATGAATGGAGCACTGAATTGCTTTTAGAAAATTACGGTTGGGATTATCAAACAACCACATCCTTTTGATAATCGTTTTAAGAATTCGATAACTTTGTGAGTTTCTAGCAGTTACTTCTCAGATTAGATTGAAAGCGGTCGCGATGTATAGCTATCGTTGAATGTATATCGAACATTACAGAAAGTTAAACTTATTAAGCACAATTGAATATAGTAACGTTTGATCGTTTGTGTAAGTGGGAAATAAATAGAGTTCGCAGATTGTTAGCTTTAAGAATGAATTACGATAAAGTTGTGTTCGATCTCCGAGGTAAAGAAACTCTGCATTAATTATTTACAACTTATCTCTTAATTCTACTTAGTTGAAAATGAATTACGATAAAGTTGTGCTCGATCTCCGAGGTAGAGAAACTCTACATTAATTATTTAAAACTTATCTCTTCATTTAATTTACTTAGTACCGAACAATGATACTAGATAATTTAGTATCTAAAATTAATTTTAAAGTTAGCCCATGATGTTGATTGACGATTTACGTGAAATGATTCTCACACGGTCTTTGTTTTTACCAGGTGAGCGTGAATTAGTGCAAAAGAAGACTTTCCAGAAATGGGTCAACTCCCACTTAGTCCGATGTTCGTGCCGAATCGGCGATCTATACGTCGATCTGCGAGACGGCAAGATGCTGATAAGGCTGTTGGAGATCTTGTCGGGTGAGCGTTTACCGCGCCCGACCAAGGGCAAGATGCGCATCCACTGCCTGGAAAACGTGGAGAAGGCGCTGCAGTTTTTGCGCGAGCAGAGGGTACACCTGGAGAACATGGGATCCCACGACATCGTCGACGGAAACCCGCGTCTGAGCCTCGGTCTCATCTGGACGATAATTCTACGCTTCCAGATTCAGGACATCACGATTGAGGAGACCGACAATCAGGAGACCAAGTCCGCCAAGGACGCGTTATTATTATGGTGTCAGATGAAAACCGCGGGCTATCACAACGTGAACGTGAGAAACTTTACGACGTCGTGGCGGGACGGTCTGGCGTTCAACGCGATCATACACAAGCACCGTCCGGATCTGATCCAGTTCGACAAGCTTTCCAAGTCAAACGCGATCTACAATCTCAACAATGCCTTCAACGTCGCGGAGGACAAGCTCGGTCTCACGAAGCTGCTGGATGCCGAGGACATCTTCGTCGATCATCCGGATGAAAAGTCCATCATAACGTACGTCGTCACGTATTATCACTATTTCTCCAAGATGAAACAAGAAACCGTGCAAGGTAAAAGGATCGGCAAAGTGGTCGGTATCGCGATGGAGAACGATCGTATGATACACGAATACGAGAGTCTCACCAGCGATCTCCTGCGCTGGATCGAAGCCACGATAGAGGCGCTCGGCGATCGTAGGTTCGCGAATTCTCTGGTAGGCGTCCAGTCGCAGCTTTCGCAATTCTCGAATTATCGCACGGTAGAGAAACCGCCCAAGTTTGTGGAAAAAGGTAATCTCGAGGTGCTACTGTTCACTTTACAATCGAAGATGCGCGCAAACAACCAGAAGCCCTATACGCCCAAAGAGGGCAAAATGATATCCGACATCAATAAGGCATGGGAGAGATTGGAGAAGGCTGAACACGAACGGGAATTGGCCCTGCGCGAGGAACTGATTCGGCAAGAGAAGTTGGAGCAGTTAGCAGCCAGATTTAACCGTAAGGCCAGCATGCGCGAGACATGGTTGTCGGAGAATCAGCGATTGGTGTCGCAGGATAACTTCGGTTTCGATCTCGCCGCCGTGGAAGCCGCCGCGAAGAAGCACGAGGCTATAGAGACTGATATCTTCGCCTACGAGGAACGTGTGCAGGCCGTCATGGCGGTCTCGCAGGAGCTCGAGGCGGAGAACTATCACGACATCGAACGTATCAACGCTCGCAAGGACAACGTGCTGCGACTATGGAACTATCTTCTGGAATTGTTGCGCGCCAGGCGCATGCGGCTGGAACTCTCCTTGCAGCTGCAGCAGAACTTCCAGGAAATGTTATACATATTAGACAGCATGGAGGAGATCAAGTTGCGACTGTTGACGGATGATTATGGCAAACATCTGATGGGCGTGGAAGATCTGTTGCAAAAGCACTCTCTCGTCGAAGCAGATATCAATGTGCTCGGCGAAAGAGTGAAGGCCGTCGTTCAGCAGAGCCAGAGATTCCTAGAGCATGGAGAAGGCTATCGACCGTGCGATCCGGCCATCATCGTCGAGCGCGTGCAACAACTGGAGAACGCGTACGCCGAGTTGGTGCGGTTAGCGATCGAGCGTCGTACCAGGCTCGAGGAATCTCGGAAACTCTGGCAGTTCTACTGGGATATGGCTGATGAGGAGAACTGGATAAAGGAGAAGGAACAGATCGTATCCACGGGCGACATCGGTCATGATTTGACCACCATCAACCTGCTGCTGTCCAAGCACAAAGCGCTGGAGAACGAGATACAGTCGCACGAACCGCAGCTGATGTCTGTTGCGGCGGTCGGCGACGAGCTAGTCCGGCAGCAACACTTCGGTTCCGATCGTATTCAGGAGAGACTTCAGGAGATTCTTGCTATGTGGAATCATTTGCTGGATCTGGCGGCTTTCAGGAGAAAGAGACTCGTAGAAGCGGTCGACTATCATCAGCTTTTCGCAGACGCGGATGACATAGACATCTGGATGTTGGATACTTTGCGACTCGTCTCGTCGGAGGACGTCGGCAGAGACGAGGCAAATGTGCAGTCGTTGTTGAAGAAGCACAAAGATGTAACGGACGAGCTTAAGAACTACGCCACGACTATCGACCAACTTCACCAACAGGCGTCCACGTTGGGCGAGCATGACGCCAAGTCGCCGGAGGTCCTGGAGAGACTGACTTCAATTGATAACAGGTACAAGGAGCTCCTCGAGCTGGCCAAGTTGCGTAAGCAGAGACTGCTGGATGCGTTATCGTTGTACAAGGTATTCAGCGAGACCGACGGAGTCGAACAATGGATCGGCGAGAAGAACAGGATGCTGGATACGATGGTGCCCGCCAAGGATATCGAGGACGTCGAGATCATGAAACACCGCTACAACGGCTTCGAGAAAGAGATGAACGCGAACGCATCCCGCGTCGCCGTGGTTAATCAACTGGCCAGGCAGTTGCTGCACGTTGAACATCCGAACTCGGAACAGATAATCGCGCGACAAAACGAGCTGAACCAGAAGTGGGCCGAGCTGCGCGAGAAGGCGGAGGGCAAGCGCGAGGAATTGAACTCCGCACATGGCGTGCAGACGTTCCACATCGAATGTCGCGAGACCGTGTCCTGGATCGAGGACAAAAAGCGAATTCTGCAGCAGACCGACAGTCTGGAGATGGATTTGACCGGCGTGATGACGCTGCAGCGCAGACTGAGCGGCATGGAACGCGATTTGGCGGCCATTCAGGCCAAATTGGACGCCCTGGAGAAGGAGGCGGAGATTATACAGAAGGAACATCCGGAAGAGGCAGCGGTGATACGCGAGAGAATCACGCAGATCCACCTGATTTGGGAGCAGCTGACGCAGATGCTGAAGGAGCGCGACGCCAAGCTCGAGGAGGCCGGAGATCTGCATCGATTCCTGCGCGACCTCGATCACTTCCAGACGTGGCTCACGAAAACGCAGACCGACGTTGCCAGCGAGGACACGCCGACCAGTCTCTCCGATGCCGAGAAGCTGCTTACGCAGCATCAGAACATAAAGGAGGAGATCGACAATTACACCGACGATTACCAGAAGATGATGGAGTACGGCGAGCGGTTGACAACGGAGGCCGGCGACGGTGACACCCAGTACATGTTCCTGCGCGAGAGACTGAACGCGCTAAAGATGGGCTGGGAAGAGTTGCATCAGATGTGGGTGAATCGTCAGAACTTGTTGTCCAACTCCTTGAATCTACAGGTGTTCGATCGGGACGCGCGTCAAGCGGAGGTGCTTCTGTCGCAGCAGGAACACATTCTTGCCAAGGACGAGACGCCGGCGAACTTCGAACAAGCGGAACACATGATCAAGCGACACGAGGCCTTCATGACCACCATGGACGCCAACGACGAGAAAATCAATTCGGTCGTGCAGTTCGCCGGACGTTTAGTCGACGAGGGACATTTCGCGGCCGATAAGGTGAAGAAGAAGGCCGAGAACATCAATGAGCGTCGGCGAATCAATCGCGAGAAGGCCAATCTACTTATGGAGAAACTCAAGGATCAGCTCCAGTTGCAGATGTTCCTGCAAGATTGCGAGGAACTCGGCGAATGGGTGCAGGAGAAACATATCACTGCTCAAGACGAGACGTACCGGAGCGCGAAGACTATTCACAGCAAGTGGACTCGTCACCAGGCGTTCGAGGCAGAGATCGCCAGCAACAAAGACCGCCTGCAGCAGTTGCAGCAAGCCGCGAACGAATTGATTCAACAGAAGCCGGATCTGGCCGAGATTATCAAACCGAAGGTGACCGAATTGGCTGAACAATTCGTCGAGCTGGAGACCACGACTCACGATAAGGGCGAGCGATTGTTCGACTCGAACCGCGAGGTGTTGATACATCAGACCTGTGACGATATCGATTCCTGGATGAACGAACTGGAGAAGCAGATAGAGAGCACCGATACCGGTTCCGATCTGGCATCCGTGAATATACTGATGCAGAAGCAACAGATGATCGAGACTCAAATGGCGGTGAAAGCGAAACAAGTTACCGAGTTGGATAAACAGGCGGAACATTTGCAACGCACAGTGCCCGATGATAAAATGGAGGAGATCAAGTTTAAGAAGGAGAAAGTCGCTCAGAGGTTCGCACAGCTCAAGGAGCCGCTCATCGATCGTCAACGGCATCTCGAGAAGAAGAAAGAGGCCTTCCAATTCCGACGCGACGTCGAGGATGAGAAGTTGTGGATCGCAGAGAAGATGCCTCAGGCAACTAGCTCCGAGTATGGAAACTCACTGTTCAATGTTCACATGCTGAAGAAGAAGAATCAGTCATTGCGCACCGAAATCGAGAATCACGAGCCCAGGATCAATTTGGTATGCAACAACGGGCAAAAGTTGATTGACGAGAGACACGAGGACAGCCCCGAGTTCCAGAAACTGATATCTGAGTTGACGGAGAAGTGGCGCGAGCTGAAGGATGCGGTTGACGATAGAAACAAACATCTGCTGCAAAACGAGAAAGCGCAGCAGTACTTCTTCGACGCTACCGAGGCCGAGTCATGGATGAGCGAACAGGAGCTGTACATGATGGTCGAGGATCGCGGTAAGGACGAGATATCTGCTCAGAATCTGATGAAGAAGCACGAGTCGCTTGAACACGCGGTGGAGGATTACGCGGAGACGATTCGTCAACTGGGCGAGACCGCTAGGCAGCTAATAAACGATCAGCATCCGTTGGCCGACCAGATCGCCGTGAAACAGTCTCAGGTGGACAAGTTGTACGCCGGTCTGAAGGATCTGGCGGGTGAGCGACGCGCCAAGCTGGACGAGGCGCTCCAGTTGTTCATGCTGAACCGAGAGGTCGACGATCTCGAGCAATGGATCCAGGAGAGAGAATTGGTTGCCGGTAGTCATGAGTTGGGTCAGGATTACGATCACGTGACGCTGCTGTGGGAGAGATTCAAGGAGTTCGCGCGCGACACCGAGGCGATCGGTTCCGAGCGAGTGGAGGCCGTGAACGGCATCGCCGACTCGCTTATCGCCACCGGGCATTCCGACGCGGCGACGATCGCTGAGTGGAAGGACGGATTGAATGAGGTTTGGCAGGACCTGCTCGAACTGATCGAGACGCGCACGCAGATGCTGGTGGCCAGTCGCGAGCTGCACAAATTCTTCCACGACTGCAAGGACGTTCTCGGCAGAATCCTGGAGAAACAGAACGCCATGTCCGACGAATTGGGTCGCGACGCCGGCTCGGTGTCCGCTCTCCAGCGTAAGCACGGCAACTTTATTCAGGACCTGTCCACGTTGCAGAACCAGGTGACGCAGATCGAGGAGGAGTCCGCCAAGCTTCAGGCGAGCTACGCGGGCGACAAGGCGCGGGAGATCACGAATCGCGAGGCCGAGGTCGTGGCAGCGTGGAACAACTTGCAATCGTTGTGCGAGGGTAGACGAGCGAAATTGGAGGACACCGGCGATCTCTTCCGATTCTTCAATATGGTCAGGACCTTGATGATCTGGATGGACGACGTGGTGCGCCAGATGAACACGTCCGAGAAGCCGCGCGACGTCGCTGGCGTCGAATTGCTGATGAACAACCATCAGAGCTTGAAGGCGGAGATCGACGCCAGGGAGGATAATCTAATGGCGTGCATTAATCTCGGAAAAGATCTATTAGCTAGGAATCATTACGCCAGCGTGCAGATAAAGGAGAAACTAGCGGCGTTGACCGATCACAGGAATGCACTGTTACACCGGTGGGAGGAACGTTGGGAGAACCTGCAGCTCAGTAAGTTGCACTTATTCGAATTTACGATCTTACATGTATGATGTATTGTACTTACTCATACTCGCTTGTGTTTGCTGCAGTTTTGGAAGTTTACCAATTTGCCCGAGACGCGGCGGTTGCTGAAGCCTGGTTAATCGCTCAAGAGCCATATCTTATGAGTCAGGAGCTTGGTGTAAGTAGTTACATTGCAGACACGAATTTACAATATCGAGTCCTCTTTGAAAAATTTACGAATTTCTTCCACAGCATACTATCGACGAAGTTGAGAATTTAATCAAGAAACACGAGGCTTTCGAAAAATCAGCAGCTGCACAAGAAGAAAGGTTTAGTGCCTTGCACCGACTTACTACTGTAAGTAGTTCCATGAAAAATACGTTACTGAGTAACATTGTAATGGAAGAGCTCGTAAAACATTGAAATACTTTTTACTGTGTACATTTTTTTCAACAAGACACATATTTTTTTTACTTGTGTCACGAGTGTACAGGAATAAGTAATTTTTGTTTTCTTAAATACAGTTCGAATTGAAAGAACTAAAACGACGAGAACAGGAGAGAGAGGAGGAAGAAAGACGCAAGAAGGAGGAGGTGGCAGCGGCGGAGGCCGCACGTTTGGCCAAAGCGACGCCTGTTACTAGTCCGGACGAACCACCTAGCGAAAGGTAGATATCCTGTCGCAGTCTATGCCGCGATGTTATATAATGTATCGTGAATGAATTTTCTTTCTTACAGAGCTGAAACTGACGGGGCAACAAGCGGAGAACGCGGTGACGACGAGGGACACGGTAATATAATTACACATAATGGATATGTTTTGGGTTTTACTAATCGAAACTGTGACAACTTCTTCTCGGTACTTACCGCATTTTCTAATTCTGTCTACGGTTTTGCATTCTGTTTGAAGACGCTGATATAGAATAACTGATATATAACACATGCACATTATTTAGAGTATAATGTCGAGTGCTTTCTCTTAATAGAATTGTATTCTCGTGTTGTATTTTCATTGACTTGGCGTAGTAATGATTGCGATTGGTAGTAATTGTGTACCGAAAGAGAGGAAAAAGCGGATGAAAATTAACATTTTATTCCTTCATGACTAACAGCTCGCGATGCAGCGAGAAATCTTGCTTTTGAACGTAAAATTCAACTCTGACGACATAGTATTATGAATACGGTTTGTCTGGATAAGCATGTGACATACGCTAACAGCACGTTTATTTTTGCCTCCTCCCGCCCACGCCGAAACTTACTCCGATCCGTATCAAATCCGTCGTCCACGTCATCTCTCATTTTACCCATCCGAAATGCACCCTAATGCGGCACGGAATGCACGAACCACAGCAGCACATCGCAAGGCTTCCACACGTACACCACAGCCTCAAGACAAATCCAAGGAAGGTGAGTGTGTTACGCGGCAGGTGTGAAACTTGTCAAAGCGTGAGAATAGGCAAACATCTTTCTGATTCCTTCGCAACTCTCTTTCGAAACTGTAGTCTCGAGTGGATCATATCATGTGTACAGGTTCTCCTAACTTCACAAACTGGTGGTGGTTGGACAAATCAGGTCTTCGTGGCAGTACTAACGACAGTTTTTCTCTTCAGATTTCACGTTAGCGTTAAGTCACATACGTCGCAATAATCTTACATCTTTCAGCATACTCGTAGCCACGTCGCACCTATCGCTCTCGTCCGCATAAATCACTACTAGCTTCTATTGACTTTTTCTCTAGCAGGTGATGGCCCGTTATTCTACCCGAGATGTTCCCTTCTGTCGTCTAGACGCCGGTCATTTCACGAGAGAACGATTTATCGAGCATTTCAAATATCTGGCACGCACGTGTGTGAAAGCGCATATGTAACAACTCGATACGACGAAATGTCGAACGAAATTCTAATTGTAATCGCAATTTTCGGTCATACTAATCTGTCGCAAGTCATTTCATTCGCCTGGTAGGTACACGTTTAGTCAACTATACTACACTTCATTCTCATCTATCGCACAATTACGTTGAAACATAATGCCTTGTTGGAAGGTAAGCACATTCACGTAATCGTCTCGTTCGTCATTCTAGACCTATAGAAGCACGAAATTTGGGTACTGTCATTTGTACGCGTGTTGTATAGAACTCGCTCGAATATTCGGACGGTCATACCACCCTGGAGAGATCATTGAACTTGTGATTAACGTCGAGTTACACGCTTTTGTGCTATTAGTCGCAACGATTCGAGCTGCAGTTGGTATAACCGTGACGAATATATGCAACGTATTTAACAAAACGATGTATTATCCAAGTAAATACATAGCATGATTTTGTGATTGGTGTGGCGTAGTGCATGCACAAAGACCTAGACAGCTGTCTTTCCGGGAGGGAGGTGGGACCTCGCCTGTCACGCCGACATCGGTGAAACCTCCGCCGCATGGTGCCCGCACGCCGACAAGTAAGTGTTCGCAGATACTTGGGGTCTCGAGCTGTGTCGAAAGGTCACATTTATTAATATTTCTCGCCGCATAGCCGTCACGGTATCACCGTGAGCGATTGTTCGAGATCGATCCAAGTCTTGAACGATCGTTCACTTTGAATTAATGAAAGATTACATTCATGGAGCCGAGGAGTTCCGGGTGGAAATGCAGTTCGCGCATGAAAATCAATTCTGAGGTCAAATCGTGCTGAAGTACTCCGGGTTTTCTTCGAAGGAGTTCTTCGACGGCAACGGCCCGTAAGAACACACACTGCCATACTTATCCACGAAGCAACAGGCCTTGACGACCCGCAACACCTCGTCCACCGATCGCGGTAGATCGTCGTCGTTTATCGTCACGTGGCGTACAGTCTGCTGTCGATCTACAATGAACAGGGCTCTGTACGCGTACCCTTGCTTCTCGTTCAACACACCGTAGTCCCGCGTTATCTGATGACTCTTGTCTGAGAGCAGCGGGATCTTCATCTCGCCCAAGCCTCCCTGCTTCCGTGGGGTCGTCACCCACGTGAAGTGCGAGAATTTCGAGTCCGTTGAGATCGCTACCACCTCCGAGCCTGGTGGAAAACGCGAGAGTCGATTAGCACTAGTGAAACATAAGCGGAAACATTGTCAAAAGTAACACGGGGATAAAGAACAACGTAATTCAGTATGAGACAATTAAGTCCATCTTCTGCGTTTAACGAATCTTTTTTTTTTCTATAAGCATCCTTCGACTTTGTTGCTGTGAATCGTGTTCGTAGAGTCATCGACATCGGTAAAACGGGGAGGAAAGATGTAACTTCGTACCAAGAGCTCGGAATTCGGCGATGCGGTCGCTAAATTGGATAAGTTCGGTCGGGCACACGAACGAGAAGTCGCACGGGTAGAAGAGAAGCACCAGGTATTTCCCCACGAAATTCTGCGACGACAGCTCCTGCATCTTCAGATCGATTATCGCGACGGCGGACCAGGGTGGCGCGGGTCGCGACACCGCTGGTATTAATTGCACCAGCGGCGAGCGCGGCGTCTCTGACCTTTCTGCACAACAAGAGCTCATCCCTAGCGCGTTATTTTTTTACCCTCGACACGAGCCGGTACGGCAATCCCTCAAGACCGGACATTGCGTATTCCGTGTCTCCTCGTCGCACATCGTCGCGGATGCACGCGAAACTTTTTACGATCGACTTGACTGTTTCGTTCGTCGTCAGACTTCACCGTTCAAGACTCGAGAGGTGTCGCGTCGTCGAAAGTAAATGGTAATTTTATCAGCCAGTGGCAAGGATTGCGTTTGGAAAGACGAGCACGCGTTGATTTCTCTTTTAGGAAAAACTTTTGAAATCTTCAAATTAATAAATCAATTTAATATTAAATAATTTAATATATTTAGAAGAGATTTACATTAATATAAATGTATGTACATACACGGAGAGAATTTTCTCTTAAAATTTATACTGAAAATCGTGCAATCGTGGGACAACATGGCAGTTCGAAGAATTTTATGAGAGTTTTTGGGAATTTTACCATACATTTTACTAGTAAAATGTGATGTATAGTAAATTGAAATTTTACTAGTAAGTAGTGAGTAAGTAGTAAGTAAGTAAGAAATTTTAATGATAAATTATACATTTTACCAGTAAAATGTATAGTAAAATTTCAATTTACATTATTTATACATCTCATTTTGCTAGTAAGATGTACAGTAAAATTTCAAGAAACTTTCATAAAGTTCTTTAAAATGCCATGTTGTCTCACGATCGCATGATTTCCAGGATAAATGTTGAGAGAAAATTCTCCATGTATATATGTTGTTAGTATAATGTAATAAACGCGAAATGTTCCTCCTATTCACACACAGTTCGACGTGAGCGTGCATTTGCTCAGTTGGCATCTTACGCATGAGCATGCTGCATGCGCGTATCCTCGTATACTCTGTAGTTTAGAAAGCATGGGAAAAAAAAAGAGTAACGCGTAACACGTGTGGCTGTGAGGACTATTAGCGGCAAATTGTTTACCTGATACAAATCTCTGCTACGAGCTAGGGTACAAAGTAGGTAAGCTAATCAACGTTATGTGTGTTGCGTACGTTGTAAAGCTCCGAAAGGAAGTGGCTCCGAGGCTGCGAGGCGTAAGGAACGGAGTCGCAGCAAGTCGCCGTTCAGGAGCTTCCGCTGGAGAAAGTCCGCTAAGTCGCCGAGTTTAGATCGCAGTGGCGTGAGTGATGATGAGCACAGTATTCCCGGTAAGTGAATGAGAAAAAGAGACTCACACGGTCGATACACTTACAATAATTACACTTACGGTACACGTTCGTTGGACACGGCAAATATTCTTTTTTTTTCCTTTTTTTACACACCTTTGTCACCCAGTCGCTCGCGATTGGACACTCTAATTTTGCTTTATATACGTACGTTTGCAGCGCAAGGTATGAAAACGGGTGGACCAGCTTGGCGTCTGACAGTAAATGACGTTACCGCTCGGGAATATAATGTTTGCTAGTGTGGTTTTAACTCGCGGGATTGTAAATTACTATCGAAATGTTATTCAGGTGGAACCTGGCATCTAATCTCTTTACTAATCATGTTTCGATCACATATAGGTTTTTAACAATCGTTTCATCATTTCCCGTGCATTCGAGAAGGCAGCTGCAACGATTGTATGTTGTATCGTGGGAAGACACTTTCTCGAAGCTAAATTATATCATGTCGTTTATGCATTACGCTTAACAAATAAGGGAATGAGTAATCGGGGGCTTGTTTTCGTTCCAAGTGTCGTTACAAGCATAAATATGCGTATGTATGTTGGCTCGCTGGGAGGTTCAAGTCGTTAAGGAAATACAAAAGAACAATGGGGATTCGGTACGAATGTATAGAATTCTTGTAACTGGGCGGTGCATTTCATTGAATGCGTATTCCGATTAAAATAATATTCATTGATTATTTGCAGCTTTAACGTCCGTTCGAGGCAAGGGACGCGCAGGCTGGCGTTCTTCTCTCGTATAAATAATTCACAATGCATCCGAAATGTCTTTGCAAACTGCTAGTATCGATGGTAAAAACTCGTTAACTCTTCCAGAGCCACGAAGTCCGAGCGACGATGAGTTCGAGGGCCCGTTGCAGCGGAAGCACGAGTGGGAAAGCACGACGAAGAAAGCGTCCAATCGCTCCTGGGACAAGGTGTACATGGTCATACGCGGGCAGAGCTTATGTGTATATAAAGATCAGAAGTCGTACAAAGCTTCGCCCGATCAACCGTACAAGGGAGAGGCTCCTCTTGACTTACGAGGCGCGACTATTACCGTAGCGAGTGATTACACTAAGAAGAAACATGTCTTCCGAGTCAAGTCAGTGCTCGATATTTTGTATTTGTGCGCGTTCCGCGACGTGGATGTGAACTGTTGTTTTTCCTCTTACAGGTCGCAAAGCGGATCCGACTTCCTGTTCCAGGCCAAAGATGATACCGAGATGAACGATTGGGTGTCCGCGTTAAATCAAGCGGCACAGGGAACATCGGGTGCAAGCACATCCAGGGCTCACACCTTGCCAGCCCCGACACAAGCCGAAACTAAGCGGCGTAGTTTCTTCACTCTCAAGAAAAAGTAAGTGTTGACTGGGAAATTTTGCTATTGTAATATCGTACGCGAGAATTTTAAGATAATTATGGATACTCTAACTGAGCGGAAGAGTTTTAAGTGAAACCGAAGAAATTGTGTAAAGAGATTTAATGTTGACAAATAAAGTATTCTCTCTTACGTCGTAATAAAATTCTAAATCTACAATCGATAATCTGACAAAATTGTTGCGAATACTTATATTACAAATTGTATGAATTATTAAGTTTTGCAGCGTTTCGAGTCAAGACGTGTGTTCTTGTATATAAGGTGCCTGTTATTTTGTTATCTTGCTTCACGTCCTTTCGAACACGTCCCGATGAAATTGATAGAGAATATTCTGTTAGCAATAAAACAAAGAAATACGCGTTCATCATCTTCCATCACTTTACTTCCCTTTAACAACACTCCTCGTATTCCATGTCGCAACACTAATTTTTCTTCTCTCGAAATCATCTTTCTTGATTTCCACTTGGGCTTCTCAGTTTGAAATATTATTTTAATTAATCATTGGACGATACGATGGCCAATGTTTCATTTGGCTGTCGTAGAGAACATTATTCATCGTCATTATCATTCACGAGTGACGGACGATCATCTCGTAGAGTTTAAGCCAATGAATCGAGAAGATACGCGCCCTCACTCCACATCATACGAAATCCATTCGTCGTTCCTATTCGCATTCGATCATGTTGCATTTATCATATTTTAGAAAAGCCAAAAAGTAGAAAGCGAAACCAATGAACGTATGAAACAGTACACAATTGGAACAACATTTAGAAATGCGGTGAGTCGCACACACAATCCTCTCTAGACCATTCTACCGTCGTACACTATTGCACGATTATAATTCGATCATCATTCCAATTGTTTTTCTTTTTTTATTTGGTCTTTCGTTATGATTAGCTTCTGGAAAATACAACGGGAATGTTCTTCCAATTGTGAATGCGGAATGAATTACGTAAATCACGAATTCTCTGAAACGAGAGGGTTTGGATGTGTGTAGAGCTTTCTGTGTTTCGCCACCGAGTATCTAACCGACAAATATCGCAGCAAAGTGCTCGAGCGATACGCTACAGGAATAATACAGCTGGAGAGATGTAAATTTCTGCGTACTGAGAAAGAAAAAGAGTGTTTTAACAAGTATTTCTTTTGCGACGGTCATGGGTTGTAAAGCAAATATTCGTCAATTCCAAAAATATATATATATGTTTTCGATAAATGTCGTATGGTTAACTTAAATATATACATTTGGAATACTGCCGACTAAATATATTTAGTCGTATACGTCTTTTTTTTTCTCAGCGCAGAGAGTCTACGATTTTAATAAGATTCTCGTGCGGTAACGACGAATATGTGAAACGCAATTATTCTCTACACCACATCGTTCGACATCTACGTAAATAGGTGCTTTTTAATACGCATATATATATCTATCCGCTTTTATTTTGAATACTTTTTTTATTTCGCATAAGATAGTGTGTTATGTAGATACTCAGATTATTGTGTATCATTGTCAAATTCTATATTGTAGCTATATTGTAGCTATGTTCAATCACCCGCTTCTGATATCGTCATTTATTCTTCACGCTTTTCCTGCTATCAGAATATTCCCAGGAACTTTTATCGTAGAGGTAATCCGATCGTCCGGCGCGTCTACTTTCAGACGCATGCGAGACGCATATTATGCAATATGTGGCTCCTTAAAGACGGAATACTTGCTATTTTTTACATATAATAGTTATAAGTGACATATAATTGTTTACGATGCGTTGAAATTATTATATCGTAGTGTCTTTTTTGTGTAATATATGTATTCCATAAATGATAATAGTGTATAAATGCAAAGCTGCAATAATTAACAAGTAGGACAAGTATAACGAACTTCCTTTACGTGGTTTGAGCGATGATTTGTTGCCAATTATTGTGACTTATCTTAATTTAAATTTTGCTAATATGAAACCTCACTTGAACGCAACTCATTAAACACCTTGAGAAATTGTAAAGCGCATTTTAATGATTTAGGATTTTGGTTTCCTATATAGTATATCCTTTCTCTTGTAACCTCGCCGTCGTATACATATGATTACTAAATTGTGAGACAAGAGCAGTAATTGGAAGTGACAATTATTGGTTGTCCTGATGAAATAATTATCACCTTTTACGTTTACTAATTTTCAGCTAAACTGGAGCAGTGAAGTACGGTGTAAAGCCGCTCGTAATGCGTCTGCACAACATCGTGTTTATGAGAAATGTTTCGTCGCTCTACATGGTTAAAGCAACGCTAATATAAAATTAGAAGACATGGCCATGGTGTTATGAAATGAATTGAAGGACGGATTGAACGGGTCTTTGAAAACGCCTACTTTCGAAGAACGGAGATATTTAACGGTTATATGTTGACCTTTGCAAGCGTAGGCTATTGAAAGTCTAATTAAATTTAGTTCTTCAATAAATTTTTGGACACTTTGCAATACTGCTAGTTGAAGAACAAGCGACATTTTCGATGTCCCACGTTAGCGTGATCAGACTTTTGACACGGGATTTAATTCTATTTACATTTTGCGTATGTATTGTCACGCATTAAAATGCACCATCATTTTCTTGTCACGGAAACGACGAAACGAATGATGTCTTCTTCGTGGTACAAAGTATTTTATAAGTTGCTGCGATGTTTTTATACTTCAGCAATCATTTTTAAGAACGTTATACGATAGAAGACGAGCGCGATCTTGTTGAGTCCGCAAAGAATGTGGTTTGGAGGAGATATATCTTAGTCATGACTTACGATAATTTTTATAATTATTCTTACACGATGAGTTCAGAATTTTAACTTGTTTTTCAATGCATTTTATTGCATTTCACGCGAGTTCTCGTGTTACAGAGCAGATATAGTCTCCGACGATGCTGAGAGGAGAGCGAGAACGATTCCAGCCGCGTTGATCGCTTAGGATATATCGCTTTCATTATCATATTATCGCACCGCAGTATTTTACTTCTTACTTGACTTCTTTTCCTGCAAACGTGTCTGTTTGCGTTCGGATGACTGCCATATATTTTAAGAGCCACACTAACTTGGGACATAACATTATATAAACTAGCTTTTAACAAATTGTTAAATATGCAGCGCCCTAAGGGAATATCGCATTGAAGAATTATAAAGAAAATGTAATAACTAACAAGAGAGAGAAAGAGAGAGAGTTTCCCCCATCTCCTGTCCCCGACCCCCTTACACGATCCCGTATATCACACAAATTTGCAGAATTGCAAGAGTATTTAAAAATCTCCGGACTCGCGCGCGCAAATGATACAGTTTGTATTAAGTGAGGGCTTACGGTAAATTATTATAGCCGTGTTATATCATTGTTGCGAATCACTTGTGTCTCACTTGATTCCGACTCGACGTTTGGCGTGACACGCGGACTATATACATTGCTCTTTTGCAATTGTTAACTTTTTTTTTTAGATATTTATCATGTTTATTTTGTTTTCTCTTTCTGCCTAGAGTATAAAGATCGGATTCTAGGAGCTCCTGCGCTTCGGAAAAATTTTTTTTAGCTTGGCACACTTTAGAGGAACCGTAATGGTTTTTGGTAACGCGCGAGAGGAAATGTTACGTTTTACTCGTTTCTCAACTCGATGCGACTCGATCAATCAATCGATCCGGTGTGTACTTTGTCTCTTCGAAATGTAATCTACAATAATCACCTCAATTCTGTGACTCACGTCAGATATTTCGGATATTTAAGTTCGTATAGAAATTGCATTGTCAGAGCTAAGCTTATTACGAGACTTGTATATACGGAGCTATATACACGCGTACACACAAAATACATACACACATACATACGTACATTATGTCCGCGAGAATAATTCTAATCAAAACGATCGTACACCCGCTTTTATAATTTCGTGCATGTGCATTTAGCGAAGAACATTGAATTGAATATCAGAGTCGCATTGCTAAGCAAACACAACATTTGGTATGTCATAGCTATGTGTTTTATATATAAATATATCTATAAATATATAAATACAGAACGATGAAGAGCATTAAATTATAAGAAAAATAAAAATTATTATAATAGATAATATATATATATATATATAAAATAATTGTCGAATTTTTGACATGATTCTTTTCGTTTTAAAACGATCTTCCCCGTGCATTTACAATAAGGAAAACGCCCATCTGGGCGGCGTTCTCGAGATACATTATCAGCGATTATCAGCGATTATCAGCGATTATCAGCAAGATTAAATAAAGACTCCTTCGAGCATTCACCCGACGGGGTCGCTTTAATACGAAAAGAAGTTGCAATATGCATCATTAAATACTCGCATAAATTAAACGTTTGGTTGTACATTTCAGATTGTTATCTCCTCGATACGTTAGAACGCATTTGCGGCGCAGTATCTTTCTCTAGCGAAAAGAAAAAGTACTCCGTTTCCTTTATACCTACAACGCTACGCCGTATACTTCTATTGGCTCTATCGATATCCCGTCTTCGCTTGTGTAAAACGGATTTGATATCTCTCGCTTCATTCCTATCATTGTCATCGTGCGAGACGCGAGAATGTAATTGTACGCGCCGATTACTTTACCCTCAAACTTCGTTAAGGCCAACGTGTAATTTTTTAATGTGCCTTTTTACAGCTTCGTTGAGAAATAAAATGCGATCAAGTATCAAGCGATGATTGGTGCCAGACCGTAGCGAGAAAACTTGACAGGCACGAGCGAACGCTCGTGAATCGGCGAAGTGAGACTCGCGCGGCGAGTCGTCTCTCGACCCGTTCTCCTTCCGATTCGTTCTATTTATCGCGAGCCGACCGTTTTTAAACCATAGTCCGGATGAGGCGAACGGGCGCGAACGAGCAATTCGTTTCAATAGCGATTCGTCATTGTACAAATAGCAATTTGTTCCTCGCGCTCGAAGGCAGCTTTGCTCGTTCGCGTTCGTTCGCGCTCGCGCTCGCTCGACCTGGATCGCCGCTGTTCGCGCGAGCGGTTCGCCAAGTATACGCGATTACAATAGCCGTGCGACAACGGCGCGTGACAACTGCGACAAAGTTGCGTTTGCGAAATTGGTCCGCGTCGAGTGTCGAGGGAGCACGTGTCGGCATGTGACAGCGCGAACGCAGCACGCGGCGTCTATTTTCAACGGTATCGATTTCCGCGCGACGTGCGAAGCCGAGGAGGGCTTAAAAAAAAAATCACTACGCCTCACGATAACTCTCGCCCCAGTTACGTCGCGAATTATCGAATTATCGGGGATGAATGCGCCCGGCGAAACGATTCTCCGCGCGCGTGTCTCCGAGCGGATGGTGGAATCCGTCGATTTATCACTGTGCACACGAGAGGGAACGCGAGTTTTATAGATTCTTACGAGAAAAGAGAGAGAAAAAAACAAAGAGACTGACAGAACGTAATCGTCCGTGGGCGCAACAAAGCCCGTCCGCTTCTCGCTTCCTCCACCTTAATTGTCTCTCTCGGGGTGAGCAAGGTAAGATATCGGTCCCCGGAAGGACGCGCTCCGCGAGGAAATCATTTCAGAGGGGAGATCGGTCTTCGTTTCGAAAACACGCTCTCTGTAGCATTTTGATGCGACTGGACGAAAGATTCTTGTTGCCGGCGACAACCGTGACAAAGGTCACAACGGATGCGGAATTGGTGCAGGAGCATACGCTCGGGCTATGAAGGCGATCAGAGCAATAAGCCGATACGCACACGATATGCAAATATACATATGATAGAAATAATTCGGTAATACGCTTTAGTCACGTTGAATGTTTCGACCCAGTGCTTGGGATCCTCTTCAGTAATGGCAGATCGGAGAGTCGGACTTTAAATATCGCTATTCGCAAAGTCGGGCAGGAGACAAAATTACTCGCGTTGCAGTCGGAGTTTACATTGTCGTTATATCAATAAAGATGAATCCACTAAGTAAACGGTTGAGCGTTATTACTATTTTAGTAGTAATCACTTTTTCGCAAACGTTTCGGCTGCTTGTAAGACGAGCTGTTTATAAAAGCTGCCAGACTGCAAGGCTGACTTGCAATTCCCTTCGAATTTCAGGACAAGAGTCCTGTTTGTAGCATTACGGCGTAATGTGAAAAGAAATGGAGGAAGGTCCTCTATATTATGAGGTAGGATTCTAATATGAGATTGCAGGCTTTCAACGTCGGAAATTCAATGAAAAATCTTTTATCGCAACGGTTACACGATCTAACAACCAATTTTCCTCTAAACAGGTTTCACTCCAAGGGCAATAAATTCATGATGGAGCCAACAGATGATGCCTGTTAATTTAGAGGACACTCCGCTCTCTCGTATTAGGAGCCTATCTCATAATAGGGTACTTTCCTCTGCTAAAGAATCGGAATACGCACGTTATCATATACGCTCGTCTGGCGGAACAACGACATAGACCCAAAGTTTTCTAGAAAGTGGATTTTAGTGAGTCATTAAAATGTTGTAGTATTATTTTTTAATGCGATTTGAATGTAATGAATGAGGAATAAGAATATCTAGTTATATATTAGCTCCTCAGTGCATCGAATTCGCACTATTCTTTTGCAAGCAACTCGCAAAAATTATTGTTGAGTTGTATCATTGTAGCAAATGAGCGACTTATGAAATATATATCGAAACACACACAAGGAAATGCACATAAAAAATAGAAACGCATCAGATTTCTATCACGTGAATCATGTAAGCTTATCTCGTGACGTTCTTCACAGTTTTTAGGACAAAAAGTTTTTTAAATGAACTCTTGCAAAATGAGAGATAAATAGCAAGATTATATTTTTGCATTTTTGTTCTCTCGTGTTATGACTATCGGTATTCAATCAGCTATTATATCGCATCGACGAGCGTTAAGTCGCGTACTACTCAACGTCCACGTTGCGGAAGTGATTAGCGTGTGAATTGCCAAGTCAATTATTTTAATTGCACCGATACACCCTGCGCTCCGAATACGAAAAGCGACACACTTGCATATGAATCTTGAACATCTTTGGTATTTTCGCAACTATCGCACATTCTGAAGGAATTACTCTTTGCGGTGCCGCAACGTATCGGAGTGCAATTGAGATTTTATAGATTTTAAACTTTAATCAAATCCGAAGTAGACATTTCCATCAATTAATAGAAAGTGTATTTATAGGCAATTCGATAGCATTAAATTTTTGGGGGATTTATTTAAATTTAATTCATTCTCACGTTTTGAGTGAATGTGCCAATTATGATTAGATAACAATCAGTTATAATTATTATCGTGCAATATTTACATTAATTCCAAGACCAATATCGGCTTTACGTTGGACAATCCCAGATAGCACACATAGTTCTATGAATATCCTTCTGGAGTGCAAATATTCTTAATTTCAGAATATTCCAATCGAATATTCTATAAATAGATTATTACAATTAGAAATCGCATATTCATAACAAAGAAGAACGTTTTTAGAACATTCGTCGAGAATAACTTTGGAACATTCGTTCAGAATAACTTTTTAATATTCATTGAGTTTATGTATTGCACATTGTTCATTGTGTAATACATTTATCTTATGCAAAAGGCAGTGAAACCTGTGATCATACCATATATAACCGACACGCTATATACGATAGATTATCCTATTCGCATTCGAAAAAGATTTATAGTAGTGCCGGTCGGATGTTCCACGAACATGAGATAAATATATAAGAATGACCCATGGAACGTTCCAAGTATTCTTGAAGAATATTCTTAAACTGTTCATAGGAGTGTCTTGTGCTGTCTGGGATATCGGCCAGTGCATTTCTAATATAGCCAACTTTGGACCAACGCACTGTGCTACTAGGGCAATTATCTAACATGTATATCTGTGACCTCTTGCGGATAGACAGCTCTTAACACAATATTACTCACACGTGTGGTATTCTTTTTACACCCATCTCTTAAGAGAGAGTAAGAAAGATATTAAAGAAGATTAAATCAAGGCCAATAAGGATGCTGATGTCCGTACGACAATACAATTATACTTTTTATGTGCTTTTAATACATACCAATTGAATTTCCTGTGCATTTCAATCGCTCCTCAGTTGAAACTAATTTCGGCCTTTATTAAGGCCCTCCGTGAGAATAAGTCGAGTGGAACAAGGAGGAAGAGTAAAGTTTGAAAGGGGAAAAGGGAAGGGTAGTTTTATTGAGAATATTGTGGGAAAATCTTGCATATGTAGTTGCAAAAATATATGTATGAAGTACACGCTTTCTTGTATAATTTCTGTTCGTGTATCTATATAAAATAATAAAAAGAACAATTGAAAAGCAATTAGGAAAATAACGTTGCATCGTTGTTTTACAAAAAGTAAAATTGCAATTAAATTGCACAGTATTCCACGTATCGTCATATAAAATCATGGTTTATATACGGCTATTACATTGGTATGTAATTTTATATAGGCAATTTTTTCTCACACTTCACTTTTTGGTAAAAAGAAAACAAATGCGAAACTTATTCCTTCAATTATTATATTAAATCGCACGTTCAAAAAATCCAGTCGCTTCGAAAGCGAAATGCTTCGGCGTCTCCTTTACGGAGTTGCTATATTTCTACATGTGGGTTCAACAAACGGTTGCACGATTCGATCTGTACGCGTCCTATATTTCTAAATGAATTGGATCTTGTTACAAAATTGTTACAAATTAAAGTAGTCGCTCCGCGCACGTTGGTCCGCGCGGGCAGAATCCTCGGGCTATTTGTCAGGCTGGTCGTACGATTCCAGAATAAGCCACGTACAATATCTCCGTAATCCAATACGCGGCCATATCTCGATGTTCGTAACAAGTTTAACGATCTTTTTACGTCCGAAGGTGAAAAGTCAACGGCCCTGATTTCACTCGAGCGTCGATTAGTCAATGCCGCTAAACGAGTCGCGAGTCGACTCCGGATGCGATATGTCAGATATCCGAGATAGATCTCGTTGAGGTTTCAACGCTCTACACGGTCGCGGCTCGGATGAAAATTTGGCCTTCGGCCCGGCATCCGAAAATGCCGGGCCGCGCCGCGTGTCTCTACGCGCCAACAATGTACACAGCGAGGGACAGAATAGTTGCGGCACCTTTTTTTTTCTTAAATAAGTTCAGGAACTCGAGAAATAGATCGAAAACGCCCAAAGTGGTTTCGGAATGGCCGCCGAGTAGAATGTCCCTTGGACAAGAAAATTTGGAGACGCGATCCTCAGTCTAAACTACGTTCCTAAACTTATTTAAAAAAAAAAGAGGTGTCGCAACCGTTCGGCCCATCGCTGTACGTATGTACGTTCCAACTAGGAAATAAAGTGCGCGGGAGGGAGAGGGAGCGAATGTCATTATCTAATATACTTTTATTGTTGCATCTGCGCGCCGCCATTAAAAGCGCTCGCACCCTCGACCCGTCGCGCGTCCTTGCCGCCGGGAAATTTCCTCGGTCTCACTCCTCGGTCCTTCCGCGTTATCGATCGCGGGGGATCCGATAATTTCGGCGCACCCTTCTGTCGTGTGACTCATAAAAAGGGGGAGGAGTCGGAGGAATCGACGATACGCGCGCGAGGACTCATTAGAAAATTCATGGTAAATTGAGACGCTAAATCGCATCTGTCGGGTGGCCTCAGTTTTCACTTCGCGTCCGAGTAATTAGGGTCGGTGCAAGTTTATATTTATCTGCGTAAAATCGCGCTGTTAGACGCGTGGTCGCGTTTCATTGCGCGGCGAATGGAATTACTCGCTCTTTTCTGTCTCAATTGCATTTTCGCAGGTGACTCATCGCGTGGCTCGCGCAAATCCAAACAGGGTACAGCGGACCCATACAGCAGCTTTCAGAAACATTTCAGAAACATTGCAACATTGCAATGTAATATTGCAGAGATGATTCAGAGACATTCAATTGTAATATTTCGCCGTCAATGTTTCAGTAACCTTGTAGAAATATTATAAAGTTTGCACAATTTATTGTAACGTATTAGAATATTGTTTAGATTTTTTAAATTTATATTATTTCTCATATATTCCAAACGCAGCCTAATAACACGTATAGCAACGCCACCTATAATAGTCTCATGATTTCCGATATTACCGGCCCTAGTAGCACAGTGCATTGAACAAACATTGGTTAAACATTGGCCCAATATTTGGTTGTGTTGGGCCAACGTTTAGCCAATGCACTGTGCTACTAGGGGGTGTCGGTCTTCTTCGTCCATGTTCAACGTGTATCTTCGCCTCTGAACGGCACATATACAGGAAATTTAAAACGAACTTTCCGAACAACCTGTTAAAATCTTAAGTATCCTGTGTATTTATATAAATAACGCATAATGAAATCAATATTATAAATACATTGCACCGTGCCATTACTGCAATGTTACATTGTAATATGCCTGAGGGAGGACATTTCAATGTTGCTTCAAGCTTGCAACAACGTTGCTGAAACATTTCGCAATCTCCATGCAATGTCACAATGTTAGCGAAAGGTGTATGCAATGTTTCTGCACCCATAGACAAAAATTTCCGGATCCAGTGCTATTACACTTCAATGTATCACAAAATAGGATCGATAGCGCCGATCGTATTGATTATAGAGAAAGGAGTATTTTAATCTTAAGTGAAAAATTCTAAAATCTAGAATAAAATGATAGCAGAGAGAAACCTGAGAGCGGCCAGGCCAGCGTTTTACTTGACACCGTTTCGGGAGACTGTTTTGTGCGCTCTTACGCCCATTTTTACTATTTCATTACGCATTTTCGGACTATTCCGATAAAATTTCCACTTGGTGCATGTCTGTGCATCCTGACATCTGATTTATAAAATTTACCCTGTCTACGTGAGAAAAGTTGATGTAAATATCGTGCAGATAATTTATGTTAATGTAATTTTGAATTTCGCAGCACAATCCTGAGAAACAGGCGTGGCATGAATCGCGCACAAAGTGGAGACTTTATCGGCAGTGTCGGAAGATGCGTAGCAAAATAGTTCCAAAAGTAAAAATGGGCGCAAAGGCGCGCGAAACAGTCTCTTGAAGCGGCATCAAGTAAAACGCCCGGCGTGGTCGCTCTCAGGTTTCTCTCCGACGATAGTACGTATCGTCTTATGTTTAATATCGTGGTGTCAACTACGTACGTTAATTGTAAGGCGGAGGGAAAATTTATTCTGAACGCAAGAATATACAAACTTACATTTATGTAAGTTACTCTTTTCTCAATGTATGGTAAGTCAATATTTTTTAATTCGATAGAGGAAAAAAATAATTATTGATTTTATTTTGATGTTTCATTTTTGTGCCAAACGAGGCTGCGAGAAATATAAATGCGTCGAGAGTATTTTTGTCTCGGAAATCCTTTCTGAGGGTGTGGAATAGATACGGGACCCGCGTAGCGCGTTTATCTTCGTGCGGGAACCCCCACCACTGCGATCAGCAGTCCATTCAATATGTCGACGATTTCCATCAATGCGGGTTAACTTTAATCTCGATTTAACTCGCTTCTTATCTCCATCCATTTCCTGAAAACCGGACGAAGATAAAAAGTAAATTAAGTTAACCTGTATTGCGAGAAATGGGCATAAATGTTAAACGCGTAAACGGGTATCTCAATCAATGCGGATTAACTTCGGTGAAGCTTGCGTCAGATCTTGTACTCAGGACCGTCTCAAGACCATCTTTAGATACTCCGTGGCCGATGGAATGTTCCATACGTCTGCGGATAAATTCAAGACGGTCCTGAACGTGAGAAATCCGAATACCGGCCTGACAGTATCGGAAAAAGATCGGCGAGCAAACTACACCGAGTCGATCGACGTTTGTCTACTCCCAGGTTAATTGACTTTTTAGTCCCAGTCTACAATAGATGATTTAAGCCCTAAGCTTTAAGAAATTGGCCAATCACGGTCAAGTATGAGTAGAATGCGCGACTGTGATTAGTCAATTTCTTAAGGCTTAGGGCTTAAATCTCTATTGTAGACTGGGACTTATCGTCTCGCGGAGTAAAGTCGGTCTACATTGGCTGTGTTCTCCAGAAGTTAGCGCTTAATAAGCGCTTTATGCTGATTGGATAGATCTAGAAGAATAGCTCTATTTCAGCACAGATCTGAAAGTATAATCCAATGAACGCAAAGCGCTTAGCATGCGCTAACTTCTGCTGGACACAGGCATTGGTTCGCGTCGTCGGAACAGACTCGTGGCGCAATTCGCGCTGATTCGCGCGCGCGCCGACCAGTAGCGCGTCTGGCGCGCGCGCATAGTTCGCGGCCGCAGAGCATTAAATACAGTCGGTCCCGCGGCGAGCGGAGTCAGTCTTGGGCAAGATGGCCGGTCGGTCGAGTGCAGCCCTCTACTACTATTTCGCGCTGATCCTCCATCTGGTCCTGCTGACGGAGTGCAATTACGGCGTGCGCTACGGTGACAGGGCGAGTCGGCTGCACGTCGCGGAGTACGACGATCCGCGGTACCGGAAGCCGCTCGTTATCGACAGGCGGAGCGCGGACCCGGAGGACGATGAGGAAACGCTGTTCAACCGTGCGCGCCGAGACGCGCCGTTGCCGGAGCATCCGCACAATAACCCAAACATCACGGCGAAGGTACGCGAATCCTAACCGCTCGATCGCCCGAAGGTCACCGCCGTCAGTCGCCGCCGTTGCGTCGCAGTTCGACGCGTTCGCGGCGACGGCGCCGACGTCCCCGCGGTTGTTTTCCGCCCGTTTTCGGCGGGCAAGGGC